GGTGCATCTGAGGGACAAAGTTGTGACAATAGTTAACCAGTCCCAAGAAAGAGTACAAAGTAGCTTTGTTCATGGGGTGTGGCATTAACTTGATGGCTTTTATTTTGTTTGGGTAAGGCCGACGAACGGAACTGTCGCTAACCGAGCCAAGATTTGTGATACTGGGCATCATAAGCTCGCATTTCTTTTGAAGTACACGAAATCCATATGAATCTACCCTGGAGAATACTTCGTTCAGGTGAGTGTAACCATCTTTAGTGCTGGAGCTGAGAATTATTGCGTCATCCAAATAAGCCATGGCACACTAAAATCAGGATAGCATAGAGTCCAGCACTTGTTGAAAGATCGCTGGAGCACATTTTACTCCGAAAGGTAACCGACTGTCACGATACAAGCCTTGATGAGTATTAATAGTGTTTACTTCTTTTGAGCGCTCCTCGACCACTACTTGTAAGTATGCATCAGAAAGATTAATGTTAGAGAGGGTTTTTGCTACATTAAGCTTTGTGAATAAATCCTCGGGAACAGGTAAAGGATATTGATGCCGTTCCAGTGCGTTATTTAATCCAGTATAAAAATCAGCACAAATACGCTAGCTGCCATTAGCCTTTCTCATGACTACAACAGGAGCAGCGCACGCTGGGTAGCTCAGAGAACTGATGACGCCCATGGACCCCAGTTGACTAATTTCGCCATCAAGATGTAAATTATGGCGAGTGATTGGTTGCAACTAACTGAACGTATGCCAGTTATCATATAAATATTTAAGCTAAATCACTATGTCTCACACCATTTTTTTTGCACTTTCATTATTTGCACTTTCTCTCTTCATTACGGCCATCCTACGGGAGATGTCAGGCGCTATCTACTTAGCTCGTTATATACTTTTGTACTGCCATCTGCAATTGTGGACCACTTGTTCACAGGCCGTTAGGTAGGAAATTGTGTGTTACCTACCTCGTAGAATTGTGGGCTTTGCAAGTACAACTACTGTAGGAAGAAACTGAGGTGTTGCTCGACTATATGCTGTGTCGGCCAAGTACCTTTGATAGAGAAGAGGTGGTGTAATGGACAGACAAAGAGGCCGAGCAATGATGGAGTGACGCCCACGTGTGAACATACCACTAAACTGGGTACGGGATGTGAATTCAGTTGGTGCGCAACCAATTGCGTGTCAGCTGCCCTTACGATCGGTCTGCACCAGTCCGCCTATGCATGTGTGCACAGATGAGTCGGTGCAACTTGCCGACAGCCCGGTCACAGTATGTCATTTGATTCAGGTACCCACAAGTCGGTGTACTGGATCTACTATGAGGGTAACCGACACCTACTGCAACAAAGCAGGGTCTACTCGCCCTGTAACAAAATTGCCACAGTCGTATTTCGACACTAGCCATCTTAGTAGACCGCCGCTCAAGACGGCTCTCTATAACCCAAGGCGGCCACCTTCCAACCTGTATTTCAGTTGCGTAGGTCTATATTGTCGCGTTACTCGCAAGTCCGTCACACCGCCTCCGTCAGTCGCAGCCATGCACCTGTGATATCGCCGTTGAATGCCCGAGTGTTGTTAGGTGGTCCAAAACCTTGGGCTGCGCCAGTGCCAAACGAGCCATGAGATCACTAATGGGGTTTCGTATTACCTTGTTCGCTTCGAAGTGAAGCTTGCTTTTTCTTGATATAACAGATGAATCCGGAACCTGATGCCGTCAACCATGCTTGTTGACTCCCCTGACTCACCAGTTGAACCATTTTGGCTGGACACACATGACTTCATATACCATCTTCCTCTACCGAGTAGGCCAGGCCTCGTCGTGCACACCACCCTACCCCACGTTCTCCTCTTCAAATCAGCAGGTAAACGCAATATTGTCAAGTTTATGCTTAAGTATATCGTTTTATACATCTGCATGAGGAAGTTGTTGTTCTGAATGGAATGTGAAAAAGACGGAATTTAGAAGACGCATGCATTCCATATTATACCCACAGTACACACAATAATAACCGATATTTAATTACATTACTAACAGCGGGTTTGACCAAACAAACTTGTGCAAACTGAATGGCGAAATTACAGTCCCATCTCCTTGGCAGCCCAAAAGTGACAAATAATTACTTTTGAGCACTCATCAACGGTTTCATCGAGCTTATCATAAGAGCTACAGTGTGATAAATGAATATGGGAAAGATGTGACGCAACTCAGTTGTGAAGGTTTATCCAAACTCTATCCGATGACCGTAAGTGCCTACCTATCCAGTAGCTGCCGGCCTACTTGAGCACCGGGACTGAGAAGTACAGGGATGCTGGTCAATACGAAAGGTATACATTTACCATTATTCCTTTCAAACTGCTAAAGGGAACTAAATGCTTTATTTTGGTAATGGCTATTTAGGTAACGACGCAGCATGGATTCCCTCACAGTGAAGGATTCTCGGTCAAGTTATAACTTTGTGCAAGGAAAGAGCCTGTTTGTTTGACTCCTTACGCAATTTAAATCAAGTTGTAATTACCCATCAGAAACTTTGGCAGACGACCGGTTAATAGACTAGTTATGGTGCGTGACGTTTCTCTTTTGACTCAAAAGCTTCTTCAGGCGAAGAAGCTTAAAGAAGTGTTCGAGTGCAAAGCGAAACGTTGTGCATTATGACAAACACATTAACCAGTCGCCTACCAAGATTTGTAAAATGATGAGATTCCGATTGGTTTCACATTCATTCAAAGATTTCAACTGGTATTTGTTACGCCTCTTACCCGTTCCTAAGTATGGGCTCAAAAGTGTTGAGTGCACTTTGGATCAGAGATCAGATACATCGACTCATGACACCACAGATAACTCCAAATTCTCCTAGAGTTCTCAAGCTTACGGCGCGGCAGGGAAGCTAATACAACTTTTAGAATAATACGTCCAAAGTACAGTCATAATTCTTCACTATAAAACAAAAGATTCCAAAGAGGGCAAGGTCAAATTAGATCTTTCCTCCGGCAAAATGAATCAAAACAACGCGGACGCAACAACTTGCGTGTTACTTGCGTTGATTGTCAATTCCAACTTAGCCAATAGCATGGAGTACCAGGACGGCTGTGAAGCCAAACCCTCTGGGACAGGGTTGCGTGCGCACAGAACGTCTGCGCTTTGGGGGGTTCAACACTCAACTTCAGCAATGAACGGCTACTCTGAATCCACATAAGTTGCAAGACGCACGTACTACATCTGGATCAGGCGGCGGTTGAGATTAGCAATGCGCTGCGTGTGTTGAGGTAGGCCACGACGGCCTGCACGCGGCACGCGCGTTACGCACAGCTCTGCTGAGGCAGGGCCAAGTGGGGAACAGGGCTGGATACCTGTAACTGAGAACGGAGAATAGCACGATACACTGAACGCCGTTCCTTACATTTGCTAGCCGCCGCACCTCGTGCACACAGGTAGCAACCTCGGCACCCACAGTGCCAGCGGTGCATAGGGATATGAAGCAATTTGTGACCGCCTCTGAGCGACCAAAGCCACGTGTGAACTTGTGCACAGTACATGCATAGTTGGCGAAGTGGATACAGCGCTTTGCTTGCAGTCCAGCGTGTTGTATGATAGTTGGGCAAGCGCGCTGAAATCCGAATTCAGTGAACGGTGTTGCGGCCCTAGCGTATGCTAAACAGTGAATACGCGTTGCGTTTGAGAACAACTAAAGTCACGTACAGTCTAAGCCAACCGAATCACCCAGCAGATGTGGAACACTCCACATGTCTTTATCTGATTGCAGTCGAGGGATATATAGTCGTTCCCAGTGAACAGTGTATAGGCAGTTGTCACGACGCCTTCGGTCGAATGAGCAGTACTTATACTGCCGAATGCTGCGCGACTAGTGTACGGCTTAGTTACCGCAGTGAACACAGTCGACCTCACAGCCCGCTGATAGGTGGCAAACGGCTATGTCGCATCATGAAATGGTTTAGTGACGAACGTCGTTACTGTTGTCGCTACATATCTCACCGCTACCGGTTTTCCACAACTAATTGTAACCTAAGGGCTATGCCCTTTTGAGCCACCCACATTAGTCTGCTCAAAGTAATAAGCAGTAATTTGACTCCTGTTTTTGAGTACGGTAGTCATTTTTGCAGTACCACCTGCGTGCAATTCCTCACACATCAACTAGTCAAGTACTCACAGCGACGCCTAGTCCTCCACCATTACGAGCACTATAATTGTCACTCTGATTAACGCAAACTTTCAGGATCCGCTAGCGTCCTGAACACTATGGTGCATCTCTGACTGGGGATATAGATCAATGAAGCAGAGCTTGTCCAAACAATGGTCACATGATGCATAGAAAGGTCAAAACCTGCTCAACTCTAACACACTTATGTTATTGGAATAGAAACGCTTTACAAATCTATGAAATGCAATACGCGAGCGTATTTACATCTCACGTGCTGGGTCACCCGGACACATGCCTCTGATACAGTACGCCGCAGTAAACGCATCCTCCACTCACTCTTACAGCGGATACCCACAGGATCTCCATGACCCATCTCGGAATACCGCTCCCTCATAACTTGCTCCACGTATGTCTGTATAATGCTCCATATGGCTTCAATGGGATTCAGTGATGGAGAATATGGAGCAAGATGTAGGAGACTCCTCGAACGATACGCCACTTCTTGGAATACCTGTTACAGATTCGTGTAGCGTGGTGCGTTACCACAGATAAGCGGCCATCTTTTGAGGAAAACAGAACCTAGAAATAGAACCTCAGCATGAACACGAAACTGTGATTGATTAGCGCCACGAAAATTTATTTTGCTAACCTTAAAGTCTACAAACGGAAAAGCACCGAACGGACAATTTGTAACGCGTGTACTTTGAAGCTACAAGGTTTCAGGGTACATTACTATCGCATATCCACTTTTTGGTTAACCGCTATGGCATCTTCGTCAATCGAATGTAATCACAGTCTATTCGGGATAAAACGCGAGCAACTCTTTGCATGCCAGTATCTTTTGTACTTACCTGTTGTAAAGTAGAAGATCCGGTTTCCACATTCGATTCGGGGGCAAGTTTATCTGCCGTATGTTAGCGAACTGACTAGCGTCCCACTTGAAGTGGTAATCCGTCCATTTCTAGCAAAGAAAAACCTGGCATGTTAATGACTTTTGTGGTATCTGGTGGGACAAATAGCAAGTTGAAAGTGGGAATTGCCATTTTCGGTCATACAGACTGAGTGCACCATACTACACCAGTCGAACACGGTCGAGGCGCAGTGCAAGCGTAGATAAAGTCCACAATATAGTGGCTACCGAATTGTCGTCCAATTGATCAGGTCACAACATTCCCCTCTCTAGCACCAAGTTAGCGAGGCTCGTGTGATCATGTGCAGGAGGCATAGAACCACTGAATATGACATAATGATTGGGTCAGTACGGATAACGTGAAATTGCTGACCCGGTGAAATCATTACCGTACTGCGTCCCGCTTTTTCCATGCGTGACAAAACCGAGTTATTTTTAACTGGCATGCCCGACTGAAGCACCGGGAATACGTAAAGTACATAGGTGAAACCACTGAAGAATTCTCGACCCACTTGAATTAAACTACCTTCTAAAAAACTGTGACATAAAAACCGAAACAGACTTTCTGGCAAGTCTTCAGCAGCATTGTCAAGTACAATGCTTCCATTAAACTGCTATTCAGTTCTGAGGATGACGAGATGCTCGGTCTTGGTGGTTACTTCGTATAACGTTATTAGGCAAGGTCATTGTTTCCCATAGGTCTAGTAAGCACGGTTCCTCAGGTTTAGATTGTCTATCTGGCTGTTAACGAATTGCAGATCATGTGCAACTCAGACGTAGCTGTCTTACGCCTACCCTCAGATCGTATACCTCTGTATATATACCGGATATTAAGTGAGTAATTGCGCCTGTGATCCATACTGTTCGAATCCTTTATTTGGTTCCATGTGGACACCTGTGTTCAGTGAGTGTCTGCGGGTACAGTGGCAGACGTATCTGGAAACAAGGCGGCCAAACAACTATTTACAAATAGTGCACTTCCACCGTTACTTTCCCTCTGTCTATGACAGACATTGGAGTGGTTGGTTGCTATAGCTTTCCAACTAATCGATCTTGCCAATTAAGGAAATCTTACTGAATAATTCTACCAGTCCAAGCATCAAGAATGTAGATTTTTTGGCAAACATCCAAACTTCATGAATATTCTATAATAAGGGTTGTGGGGTTACGGTCGGTGCTGTGGAAGTTGTTCTCACTCTAGCCGTTGACTACAACTCCGTGCCCAGTTATTTCGGCCGAGAAATACAATCCGGCTGGAGTACTACGCAAAACTGAAGAACCAACTGAAGTGTGTGCCAAACGCGGATGAGGGTTAGGTTTCGCCTACTGCTGACACTGCATCTGACGACCGACTTCGTCTTTCTTTGGGCTCTTCAGGTGCTTTTCTGGACTCGAGGATCGTGAGAAACTCAGCTACAGGTTCCTAACCTCCGGGACTGAATCTGTAATACACGGCTGAATATGTGTGTCGGCAAACTTTACGTCAAGAATTCTGCTCCAGTTTATTTATCGCTGGCTGAAGATCACAATTAAGGTCGGCACCCATCGTGAAGCGCAGTGTTGGAAGCGAGAGGTATACAACTTTTTCTACCTCGATAGGGTTCTGTGCTCGAATTGATCAGTACTGATTCCAGCTAAATCGCGGTTGAGATCATGTGGTGCATTTTATACGCATAATGCATGCTACACAAAACAGAACTATGCATAGGTGCAAATGGTTGCAGCAGTTTGGCTCGAATCAGTTGAGCATGCAATGCTTTCACATAGCACGGCTGTTTCCCGGAGCGTGATGACGAAACGACTGAGATTCGTTGGACTTAGACTTACGTCCTCATTAGCGACAATGGTAAATAGCAAGTATTCACATCCGTTGCTCACGTAACCCCAGAAGTTTTCTTGAACAGATATCAGTGAAACTAAATGTTTAGATAATGCGGTTTTTTCTCCCAATATTGGGCAGAGTATCATTAAGTTGATCCACAACGTCGAATATCAGTTCACTAGTAGCATTTACGGTGCAGAACTACCAAAAAACAAGTTCATGTCCAGGCAATCCTGTTACTTTTAATTATTAACATACAATGACCATGTTGTCAACATTCAACCTATCTTGGAAGCATATCAAGACTGTTATCCTACAACTTACTCTCAATTACAAAGGGTAAGCAGAGCTTAGAAAGATTGCAATTCAACAAAAGTCTCAGACCGGAAGCCCGGACGAGGGTCCTACATAATTGTACGATACCAAGGCGACTATGTGCATCAAACAATGTGGTGCACTTAAAGCACAATTAAAACGGCCGCCGTGAAGGCCGAAACAGTTGTATTATGCACTGATAGGAATGTGGAACTTGCCATGTCCAGCCACATAATCGTCGATAAGATTTGATTCTTTTCATCCTTTGAATAGAAGAAAAAGAAATCGGAGCGAATGAGTTGATACTTGCACAGTTCTTCAAGTTGCTTATGCAACATGCCACAGGATTCAAAGTGTTCCACGAAACAGTCCACGCATTGCAAACATTCCATGATTTAACCCAAATGACTTGGACACGGGACAACATAACCAAATTACCTGTAAACATGGAATTTGCGGTGAGTTCACTGCTACGCGTTGCTTTTTTCTTAAGACATTCACTGTTTGGTCTCACTTTTGCGCTACGGAAATTTCTTAGCTTCTGCTTTCTTATCAGTGATAAATCGATTTTTCCAACCTTCCCAATGAACTCCAGTGTGGACCTCAGTGCCTGTGTATTACCGCTTCATCATCATGAAACCGGCTGCTTCAAACCCTTATAAAATCCTCTTGTATTCTCCATCGGTTTAAAGCATACTCCAAACTGTTAAATGCTAAGCGCGGTCATCTGAAGAAATAAAGGACGAACAAAACTACGTCACTATGAAACATGGCCAAATTAGTAGAAGCTTGATGAACCCATGTATGCTGTGCCTTACTATATTAAAACGGTAGGTTTAAAATCCCGAGGTTGGCTAGTCCACTGTAATTTTCATGTGTGTAGTAATGAAGTATCGTCTTACTAAAAAGACTGTGCTCAGACTAAGGGATAGATAGGATATTATTTACTGATAGTGGCTCTTAATACGCATGGGAAGAATAAGAACTTAGTTGGCAACGTTTCGCTTTTGCCTCGGAAGCTTTGGCAGGCCAGGTGAACTGGTACATAGTTGATGCGGCCTTTTATACCGTGCATCAAATCGATTTGCATAGTGTGGTGGTCGTTAGGATGGGTTTACGAGTGAAGCCCCAGAGATTAATTGCTGAGGCAATCGAAGTCGCTAAAGCTGATTATTGTGTGAATAGTATGGAGGGTGTGAAATTCTCGACTACTCGGGCAGCAATCCTAACTCGGCCAGTCTGACGAGCTTCGGTACGCGGGTCAGGTTGCATAGCAAAAGCGACATCATCATCACCATCATCATCGTCACCAAGGCGTTAATTGACTGAGACCCCGACCATAGCCCCATTCTGACTGACCACTTCTAATGGCTTTTCCATCTGTGTCTGTAAGAATCTCTTGACTCATATCTTAGTTGTCCTGATTACCTTCCTCATCCGCTATAAAATCCTACATCAAAGAGGTATCAATGTGCCTGGCCTGACGAAGCGCTTGCGTCAAAAGCGAGGCGTTGCCAACTAAATGAACCAACCGATTGTCCACGAATCTCGCTTAAATCATGACTTAGCGATCGGTTCCATGTGTATTCTAAGAGTCTGAATAAAAACAGCTTATCCTGGTTATGGTCAATAATGTAAGCAGTCAGAGTAACTGCTCAAAATGTCGAAATCTACAGTGCTAAATAACAGATATTAGTGCCAGAGAAGGCCAGAAACGTGCCTCAGCAATACTATAATGGTCAAGAAGGCATATCACAAGAACTAAGGGTTTCTCTGTACTTGGCATGTGACAGATACGTTGCAGTACATACTAACAAGATGGCTCAACCAGAAGCGACCCATTGATGTAACAAAAGTTTAGTACTCTGAGTAGGTGCGATAGACATGAACACCTGTACTCGGCAGATATCAAACTGGCATGCCGTCATATACTGTCACCAATTCAATGGGGTTTCTTGCATTGGGAACTTGAACGCATACTGCTCTCTCATACTACATTGAATGAGAACCACGATTTTGGTGATTATTCATCTAATAGATTATCTTGTGTGCCAAAGTTTTAACATGGCGGTTTCATCTGTTGGAGGCTAAAAAACTAGTCCGGTTTCTCACAAATGTGCACCAGTTCGTTGGACATCACACCGCAGGTTACAAGATAAGCCTGCTTCTAGTAATTAATATTATTAAGCTCTTTCTCCTAACTCATTTTGGCGGTAAACGGCAGTTCAGAGTTTATTTTTTGTGCTGCTTACTCACGGGTTATCCATATGCTAGCCCAAGATTAGTGTTAACGGAGCCTGTTTAGAAGGCATGCAGGTAACACAGTAATAAGAGTGGGCTCATTAAGTATAAAATAGGTGCACGCTCTGTCGGAACAGTATCCAAAACGACAGGAGGAATAGGTATGAACAACACATAGCATAATCAACATGTGAGCAGACATTATCACGGGAAATACAAGATGCACTAGCACAATAGTCCTACAGGTGGTAGAAGCAGGTGGTGGAGCTCGTTTTGATCACCTCGCTCACCATGGAGTGAAACCAAGCGTTGAATCTCTGTGACCCCTAACAAACCTTTCTCACTAAATATAAATGCGCACCGAAGCAAGGGAACAAGATGTCTATTCCTAATGTATGCGTTGCGGACTTCAAACTTGAAGTTAGGCAATCAGCCAGGGTAACTAGCTTCGTGCAAGTCCCCAGCTGCTCTTGGACACCGCTTTCTATCAGATGCTTGGTGCACTGCACAAGTGGCGAATGATACACCGAGCCTACATTAATGTACCCCATCAACGTCTTAGGGTAGAGATAAGAGTTCAGTATGCATTTACCTAACCTAACATAGTTGAGTAGAGCTGAGTGTAGAATAGTAGACGTTTGCTGGACAACACGAACACTATGGTAACTACGTAACACCACCAATTTATTTTGAGAAGGGCTATTAAAGATCCACGTTTTACCCTCATTCCACCAGAGACAAGAAATGAATGCAGTAGGAATTCATGAAATTTGTTATACAGGTTGTTCTTAGATTAGCGTTGAAATGGCGTGATTAGCTAACAAATGAGAGTCTACTGGTTTCTCTCCTGGAACAAGGTTGCGACAGCACGGATTGTAGGTGTTGGCATTTGATGTAAATCGTATACGCAGAACAAACAGCAGCTCTTCTGAGTATCACAGTTGTTCCTCTCTGCAACAAAGTCAACTTCCGACAGCCTAGTTTGGAGCCAATCACTACCATAGGTAGCAGGAGAAATTAAGGAAATAATGACTACACTCAAGATAACTGAACCAAGTCGGATCAATAAATTGCTTTATGCACTCTGGGCGGGAGAATATTTAACTACAATGCGTAATCTCATACACATTTATTCGATCAAAGCAGGCTCAACGGTTGCTTACCATGTCCATTATCTGGTTGAGAAAGCACTTGAGGAACACCTGAAGTGGTTTGCCTTCATGCGCAGTGGGTCTTTCCAATGGATTATGGGCGTCCCAGCGTGATTGGTTGAACAAATGAGCCAATAAGCGTTTCTCGTACATACCTGCATTTGACAGCGCTGTGATGGGGTGGCACATATTGAAAAATGTTATGGATAAGTTACATGAGTTCCAAGTGAGAAGATTTCTTTTTGACACCTCATCGGGCGAAATCATTTATATAAAACTGGCTAAGCACTGTAGTAGGCCAAGTAAGCAAGCTAGAGTTGGTCAGGTCTAAACATACTACATTGCTCATCGATCCAATTCTCCAGTCGATGGGGATAGTCACGCGTAGGAGCATACGCATAGATGCACACAATACACGAAGGTTCCTCCGTCCGATGGGGTGACAGGAACAAGTGGGTAAGCTGGACGGTAAAACAAACTGGCGCTGTAATCTCTAAAGCGTCATGCAATTGATGGTGCCTAGGACTGCTAAGCACGGATGGTCTGTCGAGATGTATATCTTATGTAAGGATAACTGATTTCTAATTTTGGTTCTTTCTTATCGCATGTGCCTGGAGTAGCAGGCACTGTGTGATCCGCAAATCCTGCAGCCGAACTTTGTCCTAGTCCAACGATGCATCCGAGTTGCCGTAACCACAGGAAACGGTCTCATTTGAAGTACAATTAGGGTTCGAAATTAATGGGAAATAACTGAGGTCACTCAACTCATTGCTATTCAGATGGGAATTTAAATTGACAGTTTGAGTTCACCTGTGCTACCATTCCGTATGACCTAGCATTCCGCTTATTGTACAAGCAAAATTGCACCATCACAACCATTTCAGTGGACGCATGGAGGAAGCGGTTTCATAATACACCAAGAAGTTACAATCAATTCTAACCGAATTCTTGTGCCGCGAATCCAAGACATCGGCGTAAACCGTAGGGCCATGAGTTCCGCGTGCGGAGCTGAGCTAGGCACCTACAGTCAGCTGAGCTCAGTTAAGTGCCTCACGCTTCGAACTCACGTATCCACCATATTCGTTCTAAATGTTCTGTACTGTTCCACTTTGTGATTACTACCCAACGCGGATGGTGGCTAGGGTTAAGGATCTGCGGATTGGAGCTACGAGTTTTGCTTTAACAGTCTCGTTATCTCAAATTGTTAGTAGAACATTGTTATAGTGCGCTTCGGCAAAACTTCTATTAATCAAGTCGTTCTCTACTAGTGTTTATGGGCTATTAGCTACACCTCCACTCGCTTATGGCTTACTAATAATGTCTGTGTTGATTGATTAAATGAACATTGTATCAGTGAACTATCACCACATTTGATCATCGGACCTGAAACCAATCGGACTTGGAAATACAGTTTGCTGCATCTAGGACATAATGAAGTTGTAGCATTAACGAATATGTTAATATGGCTGGCGACGCAGTAATAGTCGTGAAAATGCACTTGCATGGCTATTGTACGGACATAGTCGAGTGATCATCGCCCCCACCAAACATTAACTTACTTGCCACACAAGAAAGGAAAATTACAGAGACAGCTAGCCTTCGAGCAGCCGGGTAATTCATGACCCTTGGTGTGTTTACATTTGCCTCATTATTGTCAATAGATCCATACCACCTTTTCACCTCATCCAGTTCGGATGTGCCTATCTGTCATGGTGAACAATCGTGTGCAGGGGCACCACAAAACGAAGCGACAGTGGGAATCTCGCACACCCTCAAGCCTCTGAGTCTTAGGCCTGTCTACACAAGCTTCAATGTCCGTTCCAGTTCGTTGGCTACATTTGACCAATCAGCTGGGAGCGTTTCCTTGCTATTCCGTCCTAGGGTACACCATGTTTTACTGTGGTTGGGAAATTGAATTTCCACCACTTTCGCGCACAGTCACAGCAAAATTTCCAGCGGCACGCGCATTAGCTACAAAAGAACAATTGGCCAATCGATTGCGAATCTTGGCATCCGTCAGAACGCGTTGGTGGTCTTCATGAAGCAGAAAAACTACTTTCATTACTCTATATTGCCCTCAAAGCACCAGTGGTGTATACGTTCTGAAGCAAAATAAATCACTCCTAAATCCAAAATCATGTCACGATGACTTCAGTGGATATTGCAGTTGAAGAACATCTATCTGACCAAAAATTGAGATTCGCTGCCATCTCGTTAGTTGAGGTCAAGCAAAGCTAGCTGGGTGGAAAGTGAGATATCGTATGCAAAAGGATGTCGAAACTGACGACTCGTGAAATTCCACTCAACGTTGTGCAACCTGAACAACATTCGTTTGGCCATTCAGATGTTACCACAAACTTATGGCTACTGCATAACTGCGGAGAGAGACTGAGAGTAATCAAAATGCGACACCGTGAAATCAATAGGCACAATGAAATGATAAACTAGTAGAGATTAACCGTAAACCGAGATGACTGTTGAATTTAGCAGGATAGACAAAGTGTACTGTGCTAAACGAACACAACTGCGAAAATGTTCCGGGCGTATACATCAAAAACAAGTCAGCAAACAAGCTCATTTTCGGTGGATCTCGTCAGGCCTGTACATCACATCCGTTACGGATAAAATTAGTGCAAAACATCAAATGATCAAAGCTCTAGGTCATCAAAATGAAAAGGTCAAGTGATTGGTTCAGAAGCAGTCAAAGGCTTGTCAGTGACGTGTTCCCCAACAAGGGCCGCTGTGATATGTGGCCAGGGTCGATAGAGGATCTGTACGAATCGTCTTTGGTCACATAAGCCGGGATTCTGGAGGCGGATAGCAATCGCTTCGGCTGTTGCTAGTAAGCGACATTTTACCGCTCATGTGTGGCATCCAGTCACGTGTCAAATGGGCTAATAAGATCGGTAGGTATTGATTTGGTGGTTAAATGTGCGAACATGGTGCTCGTCTCAGCTATCGTCTCATCTCCAGACAACCAAGTTGGGCATTGCACACGGATTCTCTCAGACAGTCTCCTGTTAGTTCTTCCGATATATTTTGTTCGATATGAGCAAGTGACGGAGTCTGCGCAGAAAGGTACTAGAAAGGTACTTGAAAGGTACTTCTCCATGAGTTGAAGTCTTACGCTTTGTACTGAAGTATAGTGTAGTCGTAATTTTGCCAAGGTGTGTATCACAATCCACGAAGCTGGATGATAATACTGGAAATTTATGAGTAGTTCACGTTTGTTTGACATCTCATCATGCCAAGCACTTTCGTCATCATGCAATAATTTGTACATGGACAGATGTTGGATTTTTAACTCGGATAAGGATCCGGACGAACAAACTGACCTCCGCGTTCATTTATATGCTCATACTTTCATTTCTATAACCCTTCTGCCTCTTAAACATAACCTGAGCCCACGTGTTCACAGTTCTTTGTTTCACCTCGCGTTGTTTACGGAACCTCCATTACTGCTTCTGTCCGAACTTGACTAGATTTATTTTACATCCGCTTGCAAGTCTATTCACCTATTCGTAAGTCACCTATATATCTTTGAGTATAAACGCTTATGCAACGACGCTCTATTCAGTACACATTATTCCACCTCTGCCCTCGTGTTTTACCGTTCAGACGGTCCGGAACGTCCGTAAGTTTGGTGATTAAGTTTGTCAGTCGGCAGTATCGGTTGTAGCTACATAAGTTGAATAATTTGACTCGCAGTTTAATGACTACAATAAGCCAAACTCTCCTAACGGAGAAATCACCTAATGTTTATAACTCGAACCCAGAGACGTCTCAGAAGCAGTCGGCTTCAGCCTTTATAGGATTAGAGAATTAGAACAAAGGTTACAAGAGTTTGAACAAAAGGAAGGGCGAGTAACGTCGCGCGTATCCGTTATGTCGGACAATGACTCGCAAGTTCGTCTCCGTGACTTCGAATGTGATATATTTTCTGTAGACCACCAGTTGATGGAAGCTTTATGACGCTGAGGGATACTGGCGGGGTGGTTTGTACGTCTAGTGCTTCGGCGCGGAGGGGGTTTTCGCCGATTCGAGTCCTTCCGGTTAATTTTCAGAATTACAATCCTACGTCTGTCAGTGTACAAATTATCGCATGATGAAGTAAATGCGTGGTATAGTGAGGTTTTAAACAAAAGCGAACCACTCAAAGCTTCAAAGCACTGAGTTCCATTAATATCTCTAAATATGATAGTGAGAAGACTGGTGTTGCGAGATGGAACCATTTCGTGTCATCTGAGCATAAATTGTCAACAATATCATTCGGCTTCGTGAATTCATAATGCGGCAAGCTTTCGACTATACTTTACTTCAAATGCAATCCCAACGCTTCAACTCAAGCAGAGACTTCCTCGGTCAAGTACTTCTTTCACAGTATGCTCCTTTACTGGTACATTCATATCGTGCAATACATATATATATATATATATATATATCAGTGGGCATTGCCTGATTTGGATGACTGACTTATGTGCATTAGACGATTCGTCTAGATTCTCTATCTACGCTGGCCTCATATCACAATGACTGCTGTTGGGAAACATGCCACTTACACGCCCTTGACCGTTTCTGAACCAAGCATCTGACCTTGGCATTTAGATGATCTAGACTTCTGAACCTTTTCTTTGATGTATCCTCTCAGTTTATCTGTTCAGTTGTGGTGTACAAGCCTGACGAGATCCACCGAACTGGAGCTTTTTCGCTGACTCTTGTTTTTGATGTTAACGCATATGTCACCTATTCTGCGGATCACGAAAAAGAGGAAACATGCCCCTATCGTGCTGATTTCTCATGGTCCTGTGTTATATCTAGACTAGCTTAAATTTACCTGGATCGCAGGCAACAAATGAGACGCGTCCATTTGATTAATCGATAAATTCGTGAAGCACTCAATCCTACGGGCATATTCACTATTCCGTCTCGCACCTGCCACCATGGTGTTATTGGGAGCGATGCTAGGATCACCTTCGACAAGTCTTGATGTAACAGCTCGGTTCTCGCTATCAACAGCGATTACAGCGAATTGGCTCGATGCTTTAGATTGTGATTTACACTCAGTGTTTAAGGCTAACATCATGCAGGTATGTCCGTGTTTACTCATCTTCATCGACGAATGCGGTTTCTGAGTATCTCGCCTAACTTAAGGTAATGCCTTTACAGAGTACCTATCCATTAGCTTGTGAATGAGGACTTCTTACCATAAGTTCAAGTTCAATTAGGACAGGAACGATGGGATTATCCCGTGAGTGTTCCTTCTTCAGCAGGCCGTTGAACCAGGAGTTGGCGGACTTTGAAATACTGATGGACCTAAAACAAAGATCGTATCACACCCAGTCCAACCAATACGTACCCACGTATCCTGTCCTAACAGTCCCTGCTGGGTCGGTTACGTGAAGTAAGAAAGTGAGAAAAGGAAACGCAGAAGAAAAGAACAGAAAGTGGTATGATCGGAGCAAGTAGAACACCAAGATGCTTCAGTCATTAAAGAAAGAACTGAAAACGGAAGATGAGACATTTAGGAAAAAGGAAAAGTTTGGTTATGCTACCCAAGAATATCGAGCTAGCGCACGAAACCCTTAACCGTAGGTTCCCTAACCACATGATCTAGAAAGGAATTCCAACGATCAATAACTCGGCGCAAAAGAGGAGTTTCCGTCCTAATCCTATCAGACCGTGGTTTATGCAGTTCCAGTGGGTGACCGCAAAGATTATGTAACTTAGCTGAACCAAATAGTTCTGACAAGTCCGGACCGATTTTACTCGTCAAAATAAGAAAAGTGAGAAGCACACCCCCCTTTTACCCTTAGGTAGTGCATGGAGTACATCCCCAAACTAAGCAAGCGTTCAGGATACATCTGTCCCAGTAGACACTGCACTAACCGAGTGCCCACTGGTAACACCCCACCAAGTCCATTATTTCTCGAATAAAAATGGTGGACAAACCTGGATACAATATTCCAGGTGGGGTTAGACGAATGCTGGGAATAGTTTCACAAACAAATTGACCGTTAGGACTCCGAAAGAGCGGCAGATAAACCACATCATACGAAACCCCCGACAAGCAACCTTCTTCTGATTGTCGCCAGAATGGAGTGCTGATGAGTGTACGACCTAAATCAACCTGCTGAGTGACAACCACCACCGCCAACAACATATCGGGTGGGAGTATTAGCAGCTCCGATTGGGAGAATAGAGCACTCGGCCATATTTATGGCCAGCAACCATAAGGTAGACCATTCCCAGAGCTTATCCAAGGCACCCTGAATTGCCTCAGCCCCCCGGGATATCCACAATATTCCAGAGCTTAAGATCGTCAGCAAACATTAGTGGTGACACTTCTGCCTCCCCCGGCAAGTCATTTACATAGATGGCGAACAACAATGGCCCCAGTACCGAGCCTTGCGGGGCGCTACTAAGGACAGCTTGCCTGGGCGAAAGGCTACGCACCACCCGTACGCACTGTTCCCTCCCCTCCAGACAGACACCCAGTTAAGGGCCCGACCAGATGTCCCGTAAGCTCTCAAATTTACTGAGAGTCTAAGCTGAGGAACAGTGTCAAAAGGTTTCGAAAAGTCCACCAATAGCACGTCTGCAGAGTGGCCACTGTCTACCGCTTTGGCTCAGCTTTCACGAGCTACAAGTAGAGTAGTCTGACAAGAAAATCGCTTGTGGAAGCCATGTTGCGCAACACTGATAAGGTTAAATCTATTCAGGTGGTTTTCCACTGAATCGCTTATTGGCTATTCAAACAACCTGACTACTATGCTTG